GTCTTTTCTTATCTGTTTCTTGTTTCTTACTGTTATTATTTTTGTGTTGTACGGTGTCCTCGAGTGCCCAGAGAGGCGCCTTTAAATAAAATGTATTATTATTATTATTAGGAAAACTACTGCGATTACAGTAAGTTGTTACATTGTAGTACATTAGGGCGGATGTGGCTCAAGAAGTAAACTTTGGAAATAAGTTACCAGGTATTAAAGCTTTTGTTTTTTCATTCAGGAATCCCCTCTGAGTATTGTTTTATTATTATTAGGTTTGAATATTATAAAGGTTTCACAATCAATCAATAATCAAACTAGGATCACTATAAATTATACTGTCTAAACGGCCATCGCTATTTCTTCCCTTGTTCCAACTTCCATAAAATGTGATTATTAAGTTCAAATATTTCAATCCTCCTTTTGCTGGGGAACCCCTACAACCCACTCTAGCACCCTTGTTGGCACCTGGATCCCAGCTACTGATGTAGCCTACAGTGTAAGTTTTCAATTGCTTTTGCTTTCTCAACTACTCTGTTCTGTTTCCTTGCAGCTGCAAACACTCCTAAATCAAGCCACGCTTCTTCCTCATGTGCTCAGTTTGTTGATACGTTTTAATATAGCCTTGTAGCACAGTATCACAAAAGCATAATCCTAGACTTCGCTAGTCTGTGCTAGCTGCTGTACGATTGCTACTCGGCCATTAAAACGGAAAGAAGGGATCTAGCTAGTTCGTATCTTAAGCATGCATCATCTTTTCATCAAAGAATGTTATTTTATGGCCGTCTCACCTGTTTTATTAGATTCGTATCCGTCTTCAAAATCGTTTCTGTACCACATTGTGTGTGACTGTGGGCTTTTAAAACAGCAGGAAAACGGCAGCCCTATCGAGGACAAAATGAACAAAAAACAAAAAAATCGTCTGAAAATACAGGTACTGTTTCATGTTACAAGTTCATGACATTATAGTACAAAAACTGAAAACTATATTTGGAATATATTTGGATCTCAAAAACGCTCTCTGCGTGATAACGGTATCCTTCCTATAAATTACGAGTGAAAGTCTTGGGCTGAAAGTCCTGGCTCTGTGGAAATGAGTTCCAGCAAACTCCTCCTCCGCAGTTCAGCCGCAGTGCTGCCTGCATGACACACTACTGGCTACTACACGCGCGCAAGATGCAGGGGCGGATTTAGCGAAATATTTCTGTGATGTGCCAGAGGGTAATATATGCTGAATCGCAAACAAAAAAAAAATAGTTTGGATTGCTACTTGCTACTTTTAAAAATCAAAAAATTATGAGTGAGAGAGAGAATGATAGCTGGGAATAAGATAACTGTGCCATGGTGGAATGAAGAGTGTAGCCTGGTTATTAAATTAATAAATAATGCTCTTAGAAACCCTGAGGGAATTGAGAAGGGCATTAGAAGGCAGTAGGTATTCTACTTCGGAATCAGATCAGTTATGTTACGCCATGTTCAGGCAGTTACCAGAGTATGTATTACATGTAGTTTTGAAGCTATTTAATAAAATATGGACAGAAGGAAGACTTCCTATTAAATGGAAGATGGCATTCATTTTATCATTTGCTAAACCAGGGAAAGATGCAGCTAATGCTAATAATTGTAGACATATAGCACCAACATCTCATCTGTGTAAATGGATGTAAAAAATGATTGTTTATAGGTGATTGTAGTTTTTAAAGAAAAAAAAAGAAAGCTGTTTAATGAATACCAGAACGGATTCAGAAAAGGACGATCTACAGCAGATGCAATGAAATTGAAAAGACAATAAACATGAAGGAAGTAATGGTAATAGTTGTATTTCACATAGCGAAAGCATACAATTCAATGTGGAGTGAAGGTCTTTTAATTAAAATGAATAAGTTAGGAATAGGTGGAAGGTTGTACAACTGGGTCATTGATTTTTTTTATTATTAGTATTATTTAATTATAGTATGATCAGAGATATCAGAAAATGTTGTCATCAAAAATGGGATACCACAAGGTAGAGTAATCAGTCCAATTCTTTTTAATATCATGATTCATGATAAATGTGAAAATATAGAAACAGGTATCAGGTATAAGGTTTTCAAAAATGTCTCACGTGACGGAATGCATGCAGAAAGCAATAACTATTAATTAATGAAATGGTCATATGATTGTGGTTTCAAAATTTCAGTAGACAAATCATGCTATATGATGATCATTAAACAGAAAATAGAGTATGGGCATCGGTGTGTGAATGTGTATGGATGTGTTAGCTTCTGTTCGATGGGCTTTGCCATCGCTGTGTGAATGTGTGTGAAAGGGCGAATGTGGCATGTAATGTAAAAGCGCTTTGA